CGGTGCGTGTGCGTGTGCGTGTGCGTGTGCGTGTGCGTGTGCGTGTGCGTGTGCGTGTGCGTGTGCCAACAATTTCCGATTGCGCAGGGGAGGTGGTCGCGCTGAGGGATGCGGCCGCTGCTTGTGTTGCGAGGGTCGCGGAGGCCACCCGGTCGGGCGCCGCCGGCGGGCTCTCGATTCTTCCCGAGGAGCTCCAACGGCTGGTCGCTCACCACTCGCTGGCCAACAATCCCGCCACACGTCGCTACTTCCAGGTAACAATAATAACAATAATAATAATATTATTACTAGCACGAAATTTGTTATTAATAACAAATTCTTGTTACTTTACAGCGCCACGCAGCGCTTGGAATGTGTCGACTCGCGTTGCGCGCGCGTCGCGTCAGTGGCCGCGAGCAGCACCTTCTTCTTCAGTCGTTTCGCCCTCCCGAGAGCTCCACAGAGCTCGAGCTCGAGCTGCAGCTCGAGCTGCAGCGGTGGCTGCCCGCGGTCAAGCAGGTGCTCATCGATTGCATACTCGATCCGGCCGCGTACGACATCGAGGGAGCCGACACAAGGTTCAGGCGGCCGGGGCTCGAGCAGCTCTACCTCACCAAGTACAACCTACTGGGGGACGACGTGGCCAGCGAGATGCGGTGCCTGTTCATGGCCAAGCTCGGTGATCCGGGCGTGTCTGGTACACACAGCACACATGACACACACGACACACGACACACACACTCACTCACACACACGACGCAACACGCTACATGCAACACGCGACTGACAAGAGTGGGTGGTGGACAGAACGCACTCTGGCAGTGGTAGTGGATGAGCTGATCGATCTCGCCTTCCCACGCAAGTGGGGTTTGATGCGCATTCACCAGCGCCGAAGCGCTGCCGACCACAACGTGACCGACTGGAACGACGACCAGCGGCAGGTCATGAGCGCCATCGTCAGGTTCGTAGCACATTAGCAAAGAAGAATCCGATTTCTTCAGAGCTGACAGTGTGCCGTGCTTGTGTGCGGGTGTGTATGCGTGCGCGCGTGCGTGTGCGCACGTATGGGGCAGGAACGATCGGGTGTGGTGGAACCGAGGTCAGGAGCGGGAGCTGTGCGACACGCTCCAGGACCGGTTGGACTCCCGTTCCACGCCCTCAAGGCACAGCCTGGCACGCGCGCTTGGCATCGACCTGCCAGAAAAAGATTGACATGTCCTCCGCAATGGCCTCTACTGATGTCACCACCCTTTGACAAACCCTGAAAGTGGGACTTTCTTTTTTTGCTCCATTGCAATGGTCTAAACAGAAGGCTGGAGGAACCCCAGGCCCTTCAGGTGTGCCATGTAGCAGGCCAAGATTGTTTTGTCAATCTTGGGGCAGCGCATCACACGCCCTGCTGTGCACCAGAAAAAAACTGATTAGCACAAAAGCTCTCCCACAACACACACAACGCACAACGCACACAACGCACACAAGACACACACAACACACACAACACACACCAAATAAGAAAGCCATGTACCGCCAGCAGGCTTTGATGAAGGATGCGCAAGCGAGTCCAGGGCGGCCAGGGTGTCAACCGGCTGATCGAGCCGGGGGAAGCCGCTGGGCCGGAAGGCGGCAGCGAGAGGCAGGAGCACGTTGGTCTCGGGCGCGTTGCACAGCGCTGTGCGCCACTCGTCGTAGCCGACCTCGCGCAGCTCGACCCCCAGAATCTCCTTCAGCTGCTCCACCGCCTCGCCCAGCGGCAGCGAATGCTCGTTGACCAGGTGGTACGCCTGCGGCAGTCGATCAGACACCGCACACCACGACACGACACGACACGACACCTCACCACACCACGCGCGCGCGTAGAGGTGAACGTACCTTGGGCGTGGCGCCGCACTTGGGGGGCTCGGCCCAGAGCGAGATGCCGACGATGGTCTTGGCCACGTAGTCGACGGGGCACATGTTGACCTCCGCGCCGACGTCGGCCCCGAGCCGTGGGCAGGCGCCCAGCTGGACCATGCCGCAGAGCAGCCGATTGACAAAGTCGTGGCGGTTGCTGAAGCCCGTGGCCGAGTGGCCCCCGATCGTGCCCGGCCGATAGACGCGCACCGGCAGACCGCGGCCGTGCACCGCGAACCAACAGCTCCGCCACATACTTGGACTGACTGCAACAATGGTGGTGTGTGCGGCGCGTGCGATGAGCGTGTGCGGTGTGTGCGGCGTGTGCGGTGTGTGCGGTGTGTGCGGTGGAGGGTACCTGTAGGGGGTGAGGCGCGCGATGTGTGCGGGGTCGAGTTCGACGGTCTCGGTGAGCGGAGGCGGGCAGGCGTCGAGCACGGAGATGGTGGAGATGTGCTCGAGTCGCTTGGTGCGCCCTTGGCAGCAGAGCCGCAGCACTTCCAGCGTGCCCACCACGTTGGCCGGCCGCAGGCGCTCATAATTATGCACCGCTGCGTCGCCTCAAATCAGCAAAACGAACACAAAACGAAACGAAATGAAATGAAATGAAACCAACCTGAAACGAGGGCGCCGCAGTGGTACACGACTTCGATCACGTGGCTCAGTTCGGCGAAGCTGGCGGCCGACAGCCCGAGGTTGGGCTGGCCGAGGTCGCCCAGCTCGAGCACGATACGCTCCTCGTCCTCGCGGGTCAGTGGCAGCTTGGCCTCTTCCATCGAACGTCT